CTAAATTGAGTCTTAGTCAATCAATCTTGTGCCATCCCGGGTTCATTTAAAGCGAGGGATTACGATAAGTTTGGACTGGGTTCATAGTGGAAGTGGAGATGCTGAATAATGCCCCAGTGGCGAAAAAAGCAAAGAAATCCGTCAAGAAGGCGCAAAATGGGACCCCTTTCTTTGCCCGTTGACCTCCGATAATGGACGAGCTAGCAACCAATTAGGAGGTCGTTTGCACATGTTATGCTGATAGCCTCTATCATTTCAGCAAGCATCATGCTTTGATTGATCACGCATCCCATGAAAAGTTATAGGATACACTCTGGAAGTGGAATATCTCGTCACATTGGCAATCGAAGGGCGCTGCTGCTGGGGGCGGAGCACAGACCGTGGCGGGGCTCAGAAAGGAATGGCAAGCCTTGTACGCTGCAACTAGCGCACCTTTGACCACAAAAACGCAACATTTCGTTTCCTTGGGCCCCTGACTACTGCTTCCAATGGTGCATGTACTTCCACGCTGCATACACACTTTATCGTAATCTCTCGCTTTAAGCAGAGTACAACCCCCTCGTTGTTCTTTGCGCAACGGGCGGTTGACCCTGGTAGGAATTGTTTCAGAGGAGCCCTGGCACTGCAGGTAGGCCTCAGAAGAGAACGAAAGTTTCCTGGAAAACTGGCCGTGGTTTTAGATTAAGGTACACGAAGTTATTCCATGTTTAGGAGGTTTTTATGGCTGAGTCATAGGCGTAGGCATGTCGCAAGAAGATGGTTGTTTCCAATACCGGACACCGCCATACAGACCTAACTCGCTCTTCCCTAAGTAGATGAACCTTAATAGGACCAGAATTCGTGTTGTCGTACCATACAAAGCCTACTTCCACAAACTGTACCGAAGAAATAGAGGATCCCATGAGCGCAGCAGAACATCCAGAATATTGCCAGGATTTGTTTGGTTCGTCGAGTAGAGAACATAGAGCTGAATGCAAAAACTATAAGTGTGCGTTGTTCTATTTGAAAGGTGTTGTATTCGACATCAGCATGTAGGTCTCGTTTTTAATCGGAGGCGATCCTACGAGCCAGTGAAGCTCAACATAAACTATTCAGCAGTGATCAATCTCCTCTTCGAAAGAGGAGCAAGTCTTCTACATACTTCTGTCCGGAGCTGTGGCGACAATTACACGATATAAAATGTACAGTGGCTTGCGGATTGTACAAGGCAGTGTTTTTATCCAGTAAACCTTTCATCAGTTGCCCGGCCCAATGGGACAGAATGCTTGGCTTGAGCGCCACAAGCCATTTGACCCGTGCTTCAACCCTGGGATTGTGCGTGTGGTAACTGCGCCACTTCACATCAGGCGAAACACGCTAAACGAAACTTTGTCAATATCCAAGGAGAGCTAGATGTACGTATGTGAGACGTACGCTATACCACCCTGGGTTGCTACGAGCGCCACTTTTTGATGATCCTTAATTGAATTTTTTGTTTTTGTAGTTACAATAACATGCATAACATATATCTACACATCCATGTACATACATTTTGAGCTTTGTGAAATAACAAGTATTCTTGGTACCGAATGCAATCCTATCAAATTTACAGCAACTTTCTTACGGGTAACTTCTAATACAAACTCGATCCCATGATTTACTACAGATCAACAGCAACCACCGTATTTTACATCCATCATATAAGACAGAGTTACTAGTAATTTCAAAAATGCCATATAAACAAAATAGTCCGCATGATGAACATTTGTGGGGACGCATCTCTGGGTGCATCGCCTTAGAGATGTATCTCATAGATGCATCATTGGTTTTCTTCACGCTTTCTCAAACTCCACACCTTTCCTCAAATTGGTTTCAGTTTAACAACTATTATTATGCAGCACTAACGAATGGAGACCAGAAACAGCGCAGGAGATCCGACAATCTATAGCGAAGGAGTATAAGAATTACCTGAATCTCTTAGCAAGATTGTTAGAATTTGGAGACTTCTTTCAGATTACGTGCACGAGTCAGGTTCTTTAAGCGCAAGCCACGTTTCTGGTCTACGTTTTTTCATGGAATTAGTATAATATGATTACTTATCAGAATGAGTGTAA